CTAATAATTTCTTCTAGAAAACACCTTATATTTTAAAATTTCAAAGCAAAGGGATAACACCTTCTCTTTTTTCCATCACAATGTGGGAGTACAAACAACCACACGCCTTTATCCAATGACCTCCATTTTTATGACAGGTTAACTACTGAGCCGTCCATTAACTGTTAGAAAATCCTACAAATTTGAGAGTGCTTAGATTAACTTCTTATAGGTAATTTTATGATATACAAAATAAATATCTTAACTTGTACAAAAATGCTTATGAAAAGCTAATCCAAATAAGCAATCTCGCCTAAAAACTCTTATGGAAAGAATATATAATAACAATGAACAATGAATATCTATGGAACCCATGAAGCAATTGAACTGTTAGCAGTCACATGTAGTTTGAAACTTGAGTCTCGGTTTTGCAGTTCACAATGACACTAAAGGCATGAACAGGCTTCAAGCAAGTTCATAAACAATGACATCTATGTTAAAGCCAATAATAATCACTCGATCTGATCATTCCAAGAAACATGTTATCCATACGTGTAAATCAAAACCCTGTGTCCTTGAAGGGTGAGGATTGGGGAAGAGGTTGATAAGAGGAGGGGTCCCCACTTCAAACCACATACATAGACGTATGAATGCGTGTGTGTGTGTGTGTGTGATGGGGGCAAAACATCTTCTAACATGCTTTAATTGCAGCCCACAAGTTCAGATTGGAGCCTAAGAGCTTGGTTGGTTGGAGAGGAGTGTGGGTGAGGGTAAGGAAAATGAGCCCTCCCCTCATTTGATGAGAAATTTTGAAGGGAAGGGGAGCTAATTTTAACTCCCCCTCAAATTGAGAATTTTTTTGACTATTTTATCTTATATTTTTATGGTATTCCATTAATGCTCTTAAGACATATTATTATAAAATTTATTTCAAATAAAATTATATTATTATAAGTAAACATTAAAAATAAATATCATTATAATAAAAAATATATTATAAAAATTAATTTAAAATAAAAATATTATTACAATGAAGAATTACATTATTAAACAATTAATTAATTTTTAAAAATATATTTTTTAAATAAAATATATTTTAAAGCTGGGAAGAAATAGCAGAAAGAGAACACAAATTTCAATTTTTAAGAGCATATAAATTTGTTAATTTGATTATTTAAAAGATATTATTATATCAATTGGACTAAAAAATTATTGTACCAATTTTTAAATATAAATATTAATATGATAGACTAAATTGTTATTAAATAATATAATTTGAAGGAGAATGTAGATTAATTTATATAATATATAAATAAAAATATAGACTAACATGTAAGGCTAAAATGATAAAATAATTAGGGAAAATGGTAATTAAAGACCCTGAAATATACAAATTATAATTTGGGCTCTTCAATTCCCAAAATTACTATCTGAGACCATGTCTTAAATATAAATTATGAAATGTTAGAGAAAATAAAAATACCCCCTCTTGTGGGGGGAAAAAAAGCCCTCAATTTTCCCTTCTGTTTCCCTTTCTCTCTGTTGCGGAACTAGCACACTCGGCTTTTTTCTTTCTCCCTTTGATAGCTTGTTCAGTCCGTCGTCTTCCCTGTCTCTACCTCGTGGACCTTAGTATATTATCCTGTTATCTTCTTGTTTGCTCATATGCATACCATCCACTTTCTTTTCATTGTCATTGTTATCTTCAAGTCGCCCAAGAATCTCCACATTCACAGAGCAAAAGTTCTTTTATTTTGACGCACACACATAAAAGCCCTTATAACAGCACTCAAGGATATCAGAAAATCTAGCTGGGGTCGCCCCTCAAAGAGAGGTGCTTGATCTTCAAAACAAATGTGTCATTAACATGCTCGTGTGAATGATAGTTTATCCTTATTTTTACATTATACCTTGTGGGTTGAAAACTGAGCAGTGGGAGATGATCGATTCACAAGAGAAAAAGCTGGTGTGGAGACAAATCAAAACAGGAAAAGAGGAACGGTTCTTCCTTTTGATCCACATTCCATTACCTTTGATGAAGTAACATATTCCGTTGACATGCCATAGGTAATGCAAAATTCATACGAGCAAATGGGAAATGGCTTGTTTTCAATTTAAAAACTAATATTTGATTGAACCCTTGCACTAAACTTGTAGGAAGTGAAGAGCTGAGGCGTTGTTGAGGATAGGGTGGTGCTTTTGAAGGGTGCGGCTGGAGCATTCAGGCCAAGTGTTCTCACTATATTGAAAAGCTATTCATATTAACTTAAGTTTAAGTAAAAATTCATATTATTTTCACAATTTAGTTGTCAATAACAAATATAGTATGAAAAATAACAAGTGTTGAAAAGCCATTAACATTAACTTAAGTTTTAGTAGAAACTAACATTTTTTTCCATAATTTAGTTGCCAATAACAAGTTTAGTATGAAAACTAACAAATGTTAAAAAACTATTCACATTAATTTATATTTTAGTAGAAATTGACATTATTTTCATAATTTATTTGCCAATGAAAAGTCTAGTATGAAAAATAACAAGTGTTAAAAAACTATTCACAATGGTTTTAAGTTTTAGCAGAAATTGACATTATTTTCACAATTTAGTTATCAATGACAAGTCTAATATGAAAAATAACAAATGTTAGAAAGCTATTTATAATAATTTAAATTTTAGCAGAAATTGAAATTATTTTTACAATTTAGTTGTCAATGACAAGTGTAGTGTGGGAAATAACAAGCATTGAAAAGCTTTCACATTAACTTTAACTCAAATTTTAGCAAAAATTGACATTATCTCCACAATTTAGTTACAATGACAAGTCTACTATGAGAAATAACAAGTCTAATATGAAAAATTGATATTATTTTCATAATTTAGTTACCCAAGACAACTCATTATAAAATATTTTTTTGTTAATTTATAGAAATGATTTCAATTTATAATAACTTGGAGATGAACACCTCATTATAAATTTTTAATTATAAATTAGAGATTAATTCCTCATCATAAAATTTTAATTACCAAAATTTACCAAAATGAATTAAAAATAATTTTTAATTTATTTTGATAAATATATATTTTTTGGTTAATTAAAAATACATTTAGTTACTTTATATTCAAAACTTGTTGTTTTTTTAATTACAAGTTTGTTAAATCCACATACTTAATTTGTTATTTTTAAGTTAAACTTAAGTTTTTGTGAATAGTTTTCAACACTTGTTATATTCTATACTAAACTTGTCATTGGCAACTAAATTGTGAAAATAATGTCAATTTTTACTAAAACTTAAGTTACTATGAATAGCTTTTTAACACATTTTATTTTCTATGCTAGACTTGTCAATGGTATATAAATTGTAGAATAATGTCAATTTTTGCTAAAACTTAAATTATTGTGAATAGCTTTTCAACGCTTGTTATTTTTCATACTAGATTTGTCATTTTATTCATTTCAAACTTTTGTGCAAATTGAAACCAACTGAAAAAGAAACCTCTAAAACTATAATTACAAGAAAATAAATTAAATATCACAGTCTTCTCTTTTGTACGGTTTTTGAGGCAAACTACACTTATGTAAATTATACTTCAGTTTGTTTTGCTGAATTATGAAGATATTGCAGCTTGCTTTCATCCAAATGTACAGTATTGCCCCGATTTTATGAGGCATCTACTCTTGTAAAGTTGCTATTGGTCTTCAGCTCGTTTATACATTTTCATAGTTTCAATACTTTCAACCACACTATCAATTTGATTCCCCTGATCAAGGAATGGAAATAAAATCTTCAAAATTGATAGAGAATCTCAAAACAATTACAGAACTAGTAAGGAAACGCTACAATAAACTGTAACATTAAAATATCACCGAAAAAAAAACTGTAACATTAGTTATAAGGTGATCCCAAATCCTGCAGCAAAAAGTCAAAAACGAACCTTTAGCAAAAAGCTAATGTGCAATGTATATATACTCCACTAATTTACCGTTAATTATCATCAACATGTTATTTCTAATTATAATTTTTTTTATCCTAAACACGTCAAATCCTTATATTCAATTTTTTATTCCCAACTACTTGACAAACTTATTATTTCCAATTTTATAATTGTTATTTTCTATTATAAACTTGTCAAATCCTTAAACTCAACTTGTTATTTTCAACTATTTCACAAATTTGTTATTTTTAATTATATACTTGTTATTTCCTATTACAAACTTATCAAATCTTTGTACACAACTTGTTATTCCCAACTACTTCACAAATTTATTATTTCCAAATATACTTGTTATTTCCTATTATAAATTTGTCAAATCTTCAAACTGAACTTGTTATTTTTAAGTATTTTACAATTTGTTATTTCCTATTATAAACTTGTCAAATCCTCAAACTCAACTTGTTACTTCAAATTACTTCGCAAACTTATTATTTTCAATTATATACTTATTATTTTCTATTATAAACATATCAAATCTTGAAACTCAACTTGTTATTCCCAATTACTTCACAAAGTTTTAATTTCCAATTATATTATTTTCTATTATAAACTTGTCAATTTTTTATAGTTAACTTGTTATTCCCAACTTTAATTTTCTTTTAGCCATAGAATTGCAGACCAACAATTCTTTCCCGTATTATGATCCAATGATATCAAAACTACACAGAATTCTATAATAAATATATCTCAACATCATGCAACTGAGATATCAGGCACAATCAGTTCTTCCTCCTGCTTTGTAACATACTTTTATTATCAGACCTCAATGATTTATTTCACTATTATTAACAATCATCAACTTATCATGAGTATGTGTCAAAATAATTACTTCTAATCCATTTAAGAGCTGGGCAGGACCCAAATCTTTTGAGTATTTTGAATAAAGAGTACATAAAATTATAGCTCCAGAATTCAAATTTCAAGACTAAAGAATCCTAGTAAATTGTTAAAGAAAACAGAAAATAAAACAGCACTCTGCACCCACCGTATCTTTGAACCCCTAGTCATCCATATTACCAGATTTCATGTCTACATTGATAATGGACCAGGGACAACATCATCATCAACATCAATTCGACACCTCAATTTTCCATCAACAGGAGATGTTGTTCTGTTGGAACCAGCCATTGGCGGACCTTCAACATCTGGTTTGGAATCTAAATCATAATCTGATATAATTTTCATTGGACCTGCTTCAGCACATGAAAATCTGAAGCCAGACTTCAATGCTTCATCGGATATCGGATCCTTCTGTGTTGTGTGAAGATAGGAGCCAGCAGGACTCCTCTTCATTATTAAGGTTCCCCAATCCAAATGTTGAATCACAACTTCTGCAATTTTAAAAGTGACACTCAGACAACGGTAAATGTAAGAATATTAAAACTTGGGTCAAGTAGGAGATCTGACTGCCTAAACATCTGGCCAACATCTTCAAAGTTTCCCATATCAAGCCGCCCATCATTATCAAGAAAACTGAGTTCACTGTGAGTCTGTGATATGTGGTTGATTGGATATTGACACACACTATCAAACCCTTGTCGACCTTCTGTGATTGAAACTCCTTCCTTATCGACGAACCCCCACAACTCTAGCCACCATTAAGCATTGCCCTTCCATTTATCTTTCCCGTTCAAAAATCGCTCCACCATGCACCCCAAACCAAATCCACACTAACTCACACACCTAACACAAAGCCTCCAGCTCACCGGACCTAATTAAGCCGGAAAACAGATGCTGACAACGCATCACTCTTCCATGGAGAGACTTTCCGATGATGAGGAATGGGTAAAAAACTCCAGCAAAGCCTCCTCTGTGAAAACGCACCAGTATAAGCTATATTATTACACTTGTTACAAATAAAAATGATGCATTTAAGACAATGGTTGCTGTATAGTGATTTCGAAGTCAGTGGAATGTGGTGCCGGCAGGAAGAGAGGGGAAGAGAGAACTCCTGTCACAGTGTGAAAGAGAAGGAGACTGGGTGATGAAAGAAAAAGAAAATAATCATTTTGGTCTTTTTCCTAACATTTTATAATTACAATTTAAAACTCATTTCTTTTTCAAGCAATTTTGTTTAATCAAGTACATATTTTACTATTTCATATTTCTAAGTGTTTTTTTTTTTTACAAATTTTTCAGATAATTATTGCTGTCCCTCCCTTCCCTCTCTTAAATTGGAAAAGGAATTATTAAATATTTCTTGTTTCGGAAGAAGTCGATAGTTGGACACTGGATCCTTCAAAGTTCGAACCTAGAAAAAATCGGTTCGTAATCTCTCCTCTTCCCTTCTCATCCTTTTCCATTCTCTTCCTTTTTTTTTTAACCATTAGATTAATATTTTAAAGCTTCAGATTTAAATCTTTTTAAAACTATTATTAAAATATCAAAATTATAAAAAAATAATAATAAATTACGAACTATATTAAAATTTAATTACTCCTCCGGTTTTAATATAGGATCTAATTGTTGAAATTTTTTTATAAATATTTAAAAAATTAAATCTTATGGACACTCCTTTAAACATAATCTAAATAGAAGAGGAATAGGAGGTATCCTAAGAAAATGATTAGGTATTTTAGGAAAAAATGTCACATTTCTTATAATTAACTAACTTACCTAACTTTCTTTATCTAATTAAATTAGTTAAATGGGTCTTATATTAAGGACTGGAGGAGTATAATGGTTTGCAAGTGCACTAAATGTTTTTAAAATTTTTTTATAAATAGTTTATAAAAAATTAAATCTAAACCGTTGAAATATGTTAATCTAATAGTTAAAAAAAGACTAGAAAGAAAGAGGATGGGAAGGGAAGAAGAGAAGCCTGTCACCACTAGACGTGCGAATGCGCATGCACTCACACGTGTATATGTGTTATGGGGGGAAAACATCTTCTAACATACTTTAATTACGGCTCACAAATTCAAGCTTCGCCAAATAGGGAAGGAGAATCTAAAGAAGCTTGTTGTTTATGGGTCTGATCAAACTCATATATAGGCTATAAGTCTTCTGTACGGTTTTCTTGAGAAATTTTCACAGTTATTATATATATTTTTTTATTTTTCAAAAAGCATAATATAGTTGTAACATTTTCTTGAAAAAACGTTACAGAAGACAATTATTTTTAAAAAAAATTATCTCTTACTGCATACGGAAGTGAATAATCGATATCAATATTAGTGATATAACTCTGACAAAAACATTTTAGTGATATAAGTGAATAAATATCAGTATTAATATTGCCCACAAATATCAGTATTAATAATTACATAATATATTTATGATATGGATATGAATCTTAGGTGGAAAAACATTAAAAACAAAAAAGCAAATGATACATACGGTGATGGAGGGTTTGGTTTTAGTTTTAATTTTCTAAAAGAAATTAAAAAAAAATTCCCGTAGTGTTTTTTAAGAATGAGCTATAGGTGTTTTTTTTTTTGTGTGAGAAAAATAGAATCACCCGTAGCGCTTTGTCAATCAAATGCCACTGGATGTGCTTAATTTTTTTTTTTAACCTAATATGTCCTCAAGCCCAACTCTAACCCTACCTTCTTTTCCTTTTCCTGTAGCCTCCTTGCTCTTTTCCTCTTCTCCACTTCTCTTCTTTCTAGAAGTCTTCATCCTTTCTTCTTCTCACTCTCACGCTTTCCTTCTTTCTCTCAACCCACCATCTTCTCTATCTTTCTCTCTCATGCCTCCATTCCGCTTGTGGCATTTCGCTCCACTCTATGGCTTTCTTGATCTTGTCACATTCAGGTTCACTCTCAACCTCTTTGCATTCTCACATTTGCATTTGATTGCCGGTATCACTTATCATTCTTTGTGAATCTTTGTGTTTTTGCCCCTTAGTGGAAGATCTGGAAACATAAAAATGTAATTTTTGGAATTGTGTTTATCTTTTTGTTTGATTTCTCGTACAAGTTTGAAATTTTAAGCATCTGTGCGGTTTTTTCTTTCAAGTGCTAAATAAAAAATGTTGTTCTTTGTTGTTGTGCAGGAATGATTTAATCTTTGAATCTTTTTAGGGCGTGTTTCTTTAAAGAGCAAAGATTTCAACATATTATGAGCAAGTATACTCAAATTGAAACATGTTCTGTTTTTGTCTTTTGCTTTTATAGGTTTTTCCTATATGAAGATACTGGAGATTGAAGAGTCAGAAAGAAAGAAGATGAATTTTCACAGAAACCAACCAACAGAATGCCTGGGAGATGAATAGCGGTCTCCTAAAAATGGATTATATATTTTTTTTTTAAAAAAAAGCAGCTGTTCCGCTTCTTCAAATAAGCACTACAGCTTATCTTTCTTTTAAAAAAAAAAATAAATAAATGCTGCATTGAAAAGCACTACAGCTAGTAAAATTAGCAAACCGTAGAACTAATTCTTGTAGCGTTTTGAAAATGCTACCAACTGAAAAAAAAAAAAAAAACGCTGCAACTGTATATTGACGTAGCAGTGTTACCTGAGAAACAAAGCTTCTGAATCAAACCAAGTGATCGACTACAAAGATTGGCAGATAGCATTAAGCAGGAAATTTCAGTCCCTGAAACTATGGTTTGTGCTTCGCAGCTATGGCCTGGACAACCTCAGAAACTTCCTCCGAAAGCATGTGAAAATGGGCAAAAATTTTGAAAACCTTGTGAAGCAGGATAAGAGGTTTGAGGTATTTGTGCCAAGGTATTTTTCTCTGGTTTGCTTTGGGGTTTCACCATCAGTGATCATCACCAAGAAACCCTTTCGTAATGGTATTAGTGATCACGAGCTCAATGGGAAAATCATAAACGATGATGATGAACATCTTGTGAACGAAATCAACAGTAAATTGCTAGATTTAATCAACGGTTCAGGCAAAGTGTTTATGACTCATGGTAAGGTTGAAGGAGCTTTTGTGATTAGGCGTGCGATTGGCGCCACATTAACTGAGGAACAACACGTGATTATGGCGTGGGAGACAGTTCAGGAACGAGCCACCTCAATCCTCTCAAAGCTTTTTAATTAAAGCATAAAATTATATTCCCTAGAGAACAAGCATTTTGAACGGTGTCAACAATAATATTGATTTATGTACCTTTGTTATTCTATCTATATCTATGTTGTGTTTGGGGTTTTGATTACACTTGATAAATTATGAAGTTAATTACAGCAATCTTCACATCTAACCAAAGAACTTCAGTTCCTCTCCCAAAAAATCGTGAAGAAGACATGCTTCGAGAACTAAAGACATGAAACATTGATAGAAGTCATATTAATAAAAATTAGTTGGCAAATCACATTAGAAACATGTCCATTTTCGCCTTCTTTAGGGTAAAAAGGACCCGATTGAGAGCATGAATATTTTTTGTATATGAGAAATTTTCAACCAGTCTTTCTCAGTAATAAAATTTAATGAGATAAACTTTTTCTCAATTTTCTTTTAAATGGAAACTATTTGAGATCACCAAAACACGGAACTAGTTTTAGTGCTCATCACTTTGATAAACACTCTAAGCTTATAAGATCTAGAACGTCTATATCTCATTTGGATGGTCCATATTTAATATTTTTATTTTTATTTATTCAAAATAATTACTTTAATATGTATAGAATCTAAAACAGAAATAATCTCTTAACTATCATTCTTTCAAAAATAGTTTTCTTATTTAAAAATAATTAGTTAAAAATTTTGAATCTAAACCATTTAAATTAGATATAAACAATCCAAATGTTACGAGTTTATAGTGCTCATTAAGATGATGAGTACTGAAACTAATTTTACAAAGACACAGCCATACTACTAACAATCACATAGTTGCAAACTAGAACTAGTTTCTGTGCTCATCGTGATGATGAGTAGTATAATGCTCACCAAGTCTCAACAATTCAAATTTAATGTGGATGGTTCAGATTTAATATTTAATGTTTTTGTTTTTTTTAAATATTTTTCTTTAATAGGTACATAATTTAAAATAAATGTAATCTCTTAACTGTAAGTTTTTTAAAAAAATAATTTTTATTTAAAATTTTTAAATTTAAACTATTAAAATTGTATTTGAACGGTTTGATTTTACTACAATGATAACTATCATGCTGCCCATGACGAGCACAGGGATGTTCCTCAGAAACATGGGTCGTAATGGGTTGGCCATATATATAAATATATATATATATATATATATATATATCAAAGCTATACGGTGGCCATAACGTAAATGATGTGCAAATACGTGGCTAATTGTGGGTGGTCTTTGAAAGCTACTTGAGGTCCAATTCTATTCGCATTGAGACCCCAGACTGAAAGTGGCCTCTTCCTACCAACTTTCTACTGCCCACCCTATTAACAGACGTATGGATCAAAATAAATAATTATAATTCTATATAAATATATCCTTCTTTTATTTTACTTAAGGAGAACTGTAATAAAATCTTAAAAAAGTAATATAATCAAGAAACAGGCATTGAGTTGTACCAAACTTAAATGGAAACTATTTGGGAATCCTCAAAAGCACTTAAAAAATACTTTTACACAAGTTGGAACAAA